TATTGATCAATATACTAACAAAAGACCAAATCAAATGAAACAAAAAGTGACAGAATTTCCCATCAGACGTACCACCACCTTCAGCGGCTTTCTCACTCCATCAGATAAACCAAATGCAGAAGCATTCACCTCAATCATGTGACTTCCCAGCATCATGGGAATAATCACATATGAAACGGCTATGCTGGAGCCTTTGTCAACAGATACTGTTGTTCTGTATTTGCCTTTCTTACTGGCAGAGCTGCAAACATCTTCTGTCTCCATGAACTCCACACGCACCTGGTGAAAACAGGAGAATGAGACTCAAATCACTTAAATATCCAGAGGAAACTTCACCAAAAATGCATTTGATTTGAATATAAAATGTATGATGGAGGAGGACATTTCTGTTTTAGAACAAGACAGTATTCTTCACTTATTTTCAGTTTGTGTCACTAGCAGCACAAAAACCTCAAATGAGTCTCAGGATCCATGTGCAAAAGGACATGTTTAATTTAAATGTACTTCATTATAATAGTTTTATCATTGTGTTTATTCTAGTTATTGCGTCTGCTGAGTAGGTGTGGTTACAGAGAGTCTCGCGAGTTCAGAGAGGCTAATAAGAGATCCGAGGCAGCAATGGTGGAAAAACAAAGAAAACGTGCAATGCATATCATAAACTATCAAAGTGAGGCTGATTGATGTTATCGAGCTGGGGATTGGCCATAAGCATACAGATTGTGTGCAGACTGAAGTTTTCTGCACTGATGGTCGGCTGATGCTGTGTGATTGCTTCGGAGTTCGTTGGGATTAATTTACCCGTTGAGTTTCTCGTGAGCGTCATTAACGATTATAAGTGTTGTTTTATTGTAAGTTTTCTTAATATTGTGACCTGATATGTTATCAGATGTATTATTGACATATTTCTTCAATTATGAAATAAATGCTGTAATATTGCGTATATAATATATGTTTGCGGTTTCTCACGTGTTAAGCCACGTGAAGTTAGGCCTGTCACGATAACACATTTTTGTTGTGCGATATATTGCCCAAGAAATAATTGTGATAAGTGATATTATTGTCATTTTAAAGACCATTTTATGCCACTGAATATATAATCATAATTTAACAACATAATAATGCAAGAAGGCCTATAAACACTTCCAAATGACAACAAACTTTTAATTTTTAAAAATATTTAGATCATGGAAATTAAGTATCAAAATATTAGAAACCTTAAAAAAAGGTAATATATTTATTCCATAAATTGTTAGTCATGGAATCCCTGATGTCGGCCCCGCTGCAATTGGAGCGCTTAGCCAAGTGCTAAATACCCTCAACATGTTTTTGCAGCATTGATCAATGTAACCAATCACAGACATTTCTGCTGATTTCTTAAACCCAATGGCCAATCAGAAACGTTTTGTCAGAATTCACTCACCACTGAAAGTGCCGCCGTTTTTAAGTGCAGTTTTGCACGCTTGTGAATCATCTCACGACTAAGTGCAGATGCGATGTAAATAAGAGATTCATTGTGCAGTTTAGAGAGAGCTTCATTGATTATAACGGAACTTTGTAAGATCGCGATGAATGAAGATGAGTGACGCTTTTTCATGCTAAAGCGAGCGTGCTTTGCGCACTTAGGGTATGATCCATTCAGAATTTGTATGAAACTTTCGTTTTTTGACACACAGGCTACACCCTGCAAAGTTTCAGGAATGACATCCGCATATGCAGTGGCGTAACTTTGCTTTGAAAAGTGGTGGGGACACCACGCAACTCGTTTTGCTAGTTTTTTTTAGCCAACTTCCAATAAACCATTGACAAACTGTCAGCAAAACCTTTACAAAGCTCTCATCTACACACAGTGGCGTAACTTTGCTTTGAAAAGTGGTGGGGACACCACGCAACTCGTTTTGCTAGTTTTTTATTTAACCCTCTAAGCGCCAAAGTCGCTAAATTGCGACAAGACGTCATACTTAAACAGACTGTAGTTCCTAATATGGTGCAATATCTCATTTGTATTCCCTACCACTAGACATATAGTACTTTGATTCTAGACCAAAAATTCGTCACCTTCCTATTCAAAGTGTTTGAGGAAAATAGCAGAGCAAGTGAGCTTTCGTGTCATTGATGCGGAAGCAGTTCAGTTCATAGCGTGCGGGTAAGCTGTGAGATTTGTGAGAGAAAATCACCAAATGGCTAATAAAAAGTTGTACCGTGAGGATGTGTTGCAAATGTTATTCGCCAATTCTGACTCTGAAGGGGAATATTTGCCTTTTGGAAACGACGATTGGTCGTCTAATGATTGCGCTTCTTCCGGTACATCTTTGCAGAGCAATGGTGCCGCCGTGCAAGGCGAGAGTGTTCACGAAGCACAAACAAGTGATCATTTCGACCCTTTGCCCAACGGGGATGGGTGTGGCAGGGCAATATCTATTATTTCCTGAATATCACTGATGAACTGATCAAAAAGTAGGCTACTGTTCACATGCGTTTTACTACTCTGGTCGCTCTTTTGCGATTAACTTTCTCAGTTGGTTGCACTAGCAGTTTTTTTTTCACTACAACATGCTATTAATCAGTGCATGCTGATGAACTTTTATCGTAGTTTATAGTTATATGGAAACGAAAGCAATTAACATTCAACCCGTTCTTTTTCATCAGTAGTATTATTTGCAGAGGTGTAAAGTGATGGAGTAAATGTAATTAGTTACTGTACTTGTGTATCTTTTTGGATACTTTGTAGTTGTACTGAGTATCAAATATATTAGCAACTTTTACTCTCTACTTCACTTCATTTTTGAATGAGTATCTGTACTCTTTACTTTGTAGTCCGTTTGTTCATTGGTTCCCCTTGATTAGTCTCCTCAGGTGTGTCTTATCTTGTTAAGGCCTGTTCACACCATGCACGATAACTATAAAGATAATGATAAATATATAGTTCTAAAAATCGTTCTCAATATTAAAGAGTAGAAGAGTCCACACCACAGCTATAACGATAAAGGCACAGAGAAACGATATCGTTGGAATAATTTTCAGAATAATTTTTCCAGCTGATGAACTTGACAGCCAATCAGAATCCATCCTGCTGTCACTAGCTCGAGAATTTAAAGCGGCAGACGAGTGTGCGCTTAGAATAAACAGACGATATCGTTCGCTGGTGTGGACGCTAATATCGTTATCTTTATAGTTATCGTTCTTAGTGTGAACGGGCCTTAAGACTAATTTAGACTAATTAAAATAAATTTTAAGACTAATTTAAAAGACTAAGACTAAATTAAAAATGGCTGACAAATTTAACACTACTAGGAATAACAGAGCAACCACTCAGATTACCCTAGAAACTGCATAGCAACAACCCAGAAAAGCCTAGAAACCACATAGCAATTTCTTAGCAACCATTCGTAATACTCTATAACAGGGATCCTCAAATCTGGCCCACAAGATCCACTTTCCTGCAGAGTTTAGCTCTAACCCTAATCAAACACACCGGAGCATGCTAATCAATGTCTTCAGGATCA